TACAGCCTTTAAATAAGACTATCCTAGTATCGCTGGATAAGAACATTGTTCTGTAAGTGTATACGAACATCATAATTATTTTACAACCCCATCTTTAGTTCCTTCAGATATAGTAAATTCAATTGACCATGAAATGAAATTTCATAGTCAAAATGCCTCCTTTACATTTTTTTTATTGCTGCAATAAAGTTTTTATAGCTCCAAGGCAAGGTAATTCATGAAATGTCTAATTTAAAGATGAATTCTAATATTATTAATAAATATTTACCAGTTTAATAAAGTGCACATTTTTCACATAAAATATGATATAATGTTTTCATTTTCTATTTTTGAAATACAGATTAACTGCTGGAAAACTAAAGAGAGCTGTGTGAGTTCATGGAAAACCTATGCAAGAACTCTCTGCTAATGTTTTTAAACTTTCTGAAGCTACCCAGCATTTATGAGCAGAAGAGAAAAAGACCACTGACTAAAATACAATGGCAGAGGTCACTCCATGTCACAGTATAAAACAAACGCAGCAGTTCTGGGGAAGCGTCTGACACACGAACTCCCCTATGCGGCTCCTCCGTATCAAATCACGCAATTCCTCATCAATTCTCTGCAGCAAAACTACACACAAGATCCCAACCCACAGCTTGGAATTGGCATTCACCCTAGAAAACCCCATGGGACTATTGGGATAAGGCAGCATGAGCTTCTCCAGATCTTCTCTTTGACATATACAGGAACAAATTCTCACTATTGAAGCCAATGTAAACTACGCCATTAATTTCTATATTGCAGAGTCTAAAAAAAAAGAAGGAAAAGATGTAAAGCCTCCGATCCAGTGGAAGAAGAGGTGAGAGAAGACGTATCTAACCAGGAGGCCTCTCCTGGTTGGAACTGTTAAGGTGACAGCATTTGCTCATGGAAGAATCACAGACAGTGAAAGGATGCAAAATTAGAAGGCAAAACTGGGCGAGGTTACAAACCCCTTGATACCATTGAGGGGATACTCATACACACAACACAACGCTGACCCAGTCCATGATATTTATTACATATTTCTGAGCAAGTTTCATTGTGTTAAGCGTATACATGCCCTATTACTTTAGTTTTCAGGCATAACATTCCTGATTCCCAGGTTTTATTAATCTGATCTTCCTTTAGCAGTCACCCATCATGCCCAGTGCATACAAAACTCCATGCAAAATGGGATCTGAAAAGAAGTATCGTATCCTTCAAGGCCTGTTTTAGGCAGTTTCTGCTTCCTATCTATGGAATTTCTGAATTCTGTATTTCTTAAGTAGTGAGCAGTTTGTGCTTAATTCTGTATTAGTGCTAGCTACTCATCATGACCTCCAAAGAAATATTAAAATTTGTAACGAAGCCAGCAGCCTGCAGAATTCCAGAGAAACATTTGCGGCATGTGGATTTGTAAATCTTTGATTAATTTTGACTTGTCAGAATAATAAAAAAGAAAAAGATTTACATGAAATCGTAACATGACAACACGATGACCTTTATTACAGTCCAGCTGTAAATATACAGTAAAGCTGTATTTTCATACACCAATTTTAGCAAAAGGTCCTATATAAAACACCTAATCAGAAAAAAAAAAAATAGAGTTGACGTAAAATATCTGTCTTCAATATGCAATACAGAAACTAATTCTAATTGTAACCACTGAGTTTAAAATGCTAAGTATGATAAACTGACTCACAGCTGTGTCTCATCACTGTGAGTACGAATGTTACTGCACAAAGCTCGGAGAAACCCAAGCAGGGAGATCCCCCAAAGCTGAAAGGGAAATACAAGAATGTGGAAACGGCTCCTCATACCCTCCCACTGAGACCACAGCCATGCACTGTGTGGAGATTCTGGAGAAGACCCCATACAGCCCTGGTTTTGATTGTTCTTATTAATAGAAACGATCACTGGAATTAGCCCCAGTCCCTGTCACTCAGCCCCTCCCCACACCCGGGTCATCCCTCCCCATTCCAGAGGGTGTGGAACAGCCCAGGAAGAGGAGCACAGCCCCAGACTGCCCCAGCTCTATGGTCAACAAGAGCAGTGGACAGAACATGGTCTGTTTATGGTCCTGTATTTCTGAGTACTGTCAAGGTAATACATCCCCATCACTTCTGTTATGAGTTTTAAAATAACCAACCAAACGAACAAAAAAATCAATTTCCATTTATAAAGATTGAGCCCCTGGAAAATACAGAATATAGGGAAACATATGGTTTTTTACTGCTGGCGTACTGCGCCTGGCTCCCTTTCTGAGCTACTTTCAAAATACCCTGCTGGCTGTTGGATGTGGGTCCTATACTTGAAATACAGATGAGCAATTCCTTCTAAGTACTGACTGTAGTTCACCCTGGCCAACACAATGGTCCTTCAACTCTTGATGCCGGTGTCAACTGTATAATACATTTTTGAACTCTAGCAGCACTTGGGATGCACACGATGACAATGGATACGGGCTTCCCAGTCCATTCCCAAAATTAAAATTCTGTGTTTATAAAGCCTGACTGCTTCTTCACAAGAGATCTGTTCACACGGGGTGTAGCATTGCACTGTACATTAACAACCACGTTTATCTTCCTGAATCCACCAATATTATATGGATTAACATTTGCCAACTGCCTCAGGGAACAGAGTAATAGTGTATCATTGTTTGCTACATAATGCTGACAACACATGTCATCATTGACACACCTGCACATGATGCAGAACCCTGGCAAACGCTTGGTCAGGCTACAATACCAAGAAATCACACAGATCTTCTGAGAGGTGGCCTGGTTCAGGCCAGCCAGCAGCTAAGCTACTATGCGGCCGCTCCCTCGCTCCTTCCCCCTCGGTGGGATGGGGAGGAGAAATCAGAAGAAAAAGGGAAAACTCGTGGGTTGGGATAAGGACAGTTTGATAGGACAGCACCGAGAGAGAAGGGATAAGAAAAACAATAATACTCCTAAAAGAACAATATGAAACAAGCTATACAATCGCTCACCACCCGGAAGCCCTTGATCCGACGCCCCTGGCTAGCTCCCTCAATACATATTCCGAGCATGACATCATATGGCATCAAATATCCCCCTGGCTAGTTTGGGTCAGCTGCCCAGCCTCCTGTGAAAATTAACTCTGTCCCAGCCAAACCCAGGACAGAGGCCAGTTAAACCCGATAGGTGACACAAATCTACATCAGTAGGCTTTGACAGACAGCGTCAGGCAAGGGACACACACAAAGACCCAGACCTACCATATGCAATCCATTGCTGTGGATGACGCCGTCTTGCTCCACGAGATTTCGGGATATCGTGATAGAGGGAAGATCCAGGCTCTGGGGGGGAAACTGAGGTGTAAATTCACTTCCTTGGGCAGGCAGCTGGTCACTGAGGCCCTGGAAGGGCAGCAGTATGTCTGCCATCCCCAGCGCAGGGTCTGACTCGGGCGGGGGGGTAATGGGTGGGATTTCGAACTCCTCGTCCCCGAGGCTCGGCGTGTGGAACGTCTGCTGGAAAAGCACAGGACAAGGCAAACCACGTCAGGGCACGCTGCTCTCAGCGACCACCTCCAGTCCAGACCTCGTTTCGTTCTCAAATATAAACTCTATATGCAACAAAATTTTTAAGTTTCGTATATCCAAGGGGTTTGTGGATCATTCTGATTAAAGATTTAAGTCGCATTATCATACGGCTTTAATGGAGTATCAGTATTAACAGTTTTTTAATGTGTACTTAATTAGCAACATCTGTCTTTGTTGTTAGTCTGAATATCAGCTACATTGGATCTGGCTGTATAACAAATTGCCACTTTATTGATATGTTAGTAAAATAGCACAAACAGCTTACATTACTCTCAGGCTTTTCATAAAATACTGACAATTTCGTAGCGCACACACAACATTAATTCAGCACTGACCATTTCACATCTTTTGTTCCTTTTTTCCCCCCCACTAATAAACATGATATATTATAATTCTGGACTTTATTTCCTTTCTTTTCCATTCCAAAAGTACAATGCCCCCTTTTAAACAAGGGTTGTAATTTGGAGGAGACACACGTATGAAAGAGCGAGGGTGATTACAGCAGCTTCCAGGGCTTTCTGAAGCAAGCCAGCTTTGTTTGAACAGTAGGTTTGTTACAAACTAAACACCTGTTAAGATGCCTTGAGCGAAACATTTACTGCCAGTTATCTTCAGGGTTTGAGCATGTTCGTACGTGTGCATGTGTCTGTCAAAGATAATCTTTATTCAAGTAGAGTCTGTATCTGGCTTCAACATTGCTGACTTTTATTTGGGAAACAAATGAGCTATGCTCATTCAAATTTCTTGCGAGTTAAATGAACTTTCGTATATTATTTCAGGTCCACTGCTACTTAATAATAGAAATTCAGCACTTGAAATTAGGCCATTTTAAATGTACCCAAATCAGAACTGTCTTGATCAAATTGGGCAGTTGGCAATCCTAAAATAGGCACTCTTGTCTTGTTCTGGACATGCAAGGCTGCTCTGGGATTTGTTTGCTTGCATTAGTTCAGGATTCGAGTTGGGGGGGGAGGGAAATTGTTTTATGTATTATTTACCTTGTTTGAAAGAGTGACTTAATGCCAGTTAATTTAAAAATGATATGTTCAGTGAAAGATCTCATTAACTGCCGCAAATTGTCATCCTTCAAACTGTTAATGATGATATAAATTAATAACCGCTTGAGAGAAGATGGAAACTGAAACACAAGAAAAACCTTTGCTTGCATATAGAACCTGTCAGCTGTCATTATTGGTCTCACACCAGAAATGATGAGGTCCCAGATTGCTGCAGTCTGCAGTAGCGTTGGAGTCTGCTGAGACCCTACCCATCTCGCCCGAACCGCGAGACTGTAACTTAATTCTGGATGTGAAAGCTGGGCCTGGATCAGGGAGACGTTTGACTTCCCCGCTGTTATATTACAAAAGGTGTGAATTTTCCTTCCTGTGGACCCCGTAGTTCACAAACACAAAGGATGGATTGGCCAGGAGAAGTGGTTGGCTAATGAACACAACCCTATGGCTGCATTTGCAGTTATTTTGGCACTAATGTGGTCTAGTAACAGATGCAACTGTAATTTGTGACTCATTTGCTACCCCATTACTGCTTAATGAAATCTAACATATCACATTAACAATACGGATAAACACTCATTCTTGATATGTGGCATTTGGCTGTTTTCATTACCACTGTAATTAACACTTGAAATATTATTTCAATAAATATTTAAGGTGCTTTAAAATGGGTCGTAGCAATCATGACATAGAGACAGAAAACATAAAGTAAACGTGTGGCTTCTAAGCCTGAATACGCTCTAGGATTACACTCTTAAGGCATTATTTACAGGAATAAAATGGGCTTCTGGCTCAGCAGTGCTCGGGCCCAAAATCAGAGTGAGAAGGCTACATTCATGTTAATGTAAAAACACTATAATTAAATAGATTATAATGCAGTAATTGCAAAGTTAGGTTCACGCTTTAATGCGAACGCTAACACTTAATCATATTTTTATTCCTTGTTCAAGCAAAAGGGTTCAGTGAAATCAGTATTGTTATAGTACGTTTGAACCTCTCTTTACTTGACATATTTATGAGACAGTAATTATAAGAACTGGATCTTTTTTCCCCATCTACACAGTATAACTCTAGGACAGCTGTATAAATATATACCATAGCTAGATAATAAAGCAATACTTTATTTAGAAAAGTAGCATTCATCTTAATACTTACAGCTTACTACAAATGGGAGTGTAAATTGATGAATACCTTAACATTTTTTAAACATGAATTTAATTCTCACAATATAACTTGTCCAAATATGAATATATCTTTTTTCAAGAATGTATAAGGGACCTAAGATTGAGGGTAAAATAGATGTAATCTGAGAAGAAAGCAAGCCCCTTAGTGAAGCAGTCTTAAATTCAAATCACTGGGCTATTCAGTCTGCAAAAAGAACCTGAATAGTATGCAATTTGAGATTGCAGAAAGGTGCTGTTATGACCAAAAGATGGTATAACATTTGTGGGATTTATCTTAACAATCACATTTTTTAAAGTTATTAACTTTTCAAATATTTATATCTTACACATTTAAAAAAAAAACAAAAAACACAAAACTGTGTGCATGGTTAAATGCCATCTGTACTGAAATGTTCAAAACATTTGTTCCTTTTGATAAAAATGCAAATCTGGAGAACTGTTGTATCAACATATAACAGCCAATGTCTGACACGGTGAATTATCACAGCTGGAATTAAATTGTCTCTGAACAGCTGCTGGCAGCAGAGCTTTCATCAATGTTTGATTCAAATGTAGGAAAGAAATTCTACAGAAAGAAACATCATGTTGTCATTACAGATGGGGTTTGTGTTCATTATCACAAATAACACTGGAGCTAGTGCCAAACAATATTCCCTTATCTAAGCAGTCTTGCTGGGTAAAAAGAGATGGTGACCATTGTATAAACGATTCATAAAATACGACTCTTAATTCTAACCTTCATATTTATTCTTACACCTTTCTGCTTATTTTCTCCAAGATCACTTTTTCAGAATGCCTGCGACTGAATCACCGCTTACAACACGGAAAATCAAGGCTGCCCGCTTTTCCAACCATTCCTCATGTTGGGAAGACCGTTTATGGCATGCACCCTACATAAATACTTAGTTTTTGTTCTCCATATCGCCGTGCATGCTACTAGACAGTGCACCTCACACTTTCCATCCTTCCCTTTGGAATAAGAGCTGCCGGTTTTTCGTGATGAGCAGGAGGTGTTTCTGCCTAGAGCTGGGGTCACTATTGGCGCGTTGAAGTCTATCAACCGGCCGTAAGGCAGCACTGCTGTGACAAACACGTGGCGGCTGGAGCTGCCATACCTTTCTCCTGCTTCCATCCTCAAAGGCAGCGATCAAATACGTCACCTCCACAACCCAGCCAGCCTCCAGCAGCCCAGCCCCAGGTTTGTTCTGGATCCCGGGCAGAAGTTTCCTTCACACAGCACATACACTTCAGGCAACAAAGTTGGGTTTGGTTTTGTAACTTATACATTATGAGTATCAAGATCCCAAATTAAAATGTTTGTATCTATAACAGAAATTAGCACATTAGCAAGTAATGACTATTACTAAGCTTGCTTTCAAAGCCTACGCCTACTGTGCTTTTTATTTGTTTCCTTCTGCTTATCATTTTTTTCATACATAAAGCAGATTTGTTTCTATTGACATGCTATGTAAGTAACAGCCTTATGGACAGCTAAATTGACTAGTAATGCAGAGCTGTCAGGTTATTTTCTTTCTCATTAAAGTCTTTATTTTGTGCTCCATAAAACACACAAATTCAGCACTTCGCTCTTCATCCATTCAAAGTCTGTTAAATTATCACAGCAAACAACAGAATATGAGCATAGATAAAAAAGAAAAACATCTACCTCATTTGCAGCAAGAAATGCATTATTTGCCTCTGCCATGTTCATGTAGTTGTTATTGTTTCCGAACTGAAAGAAAAATAAATATTTGGATTTTAATGCATGCCATGATAAACTTTTCTTTACCCCATCACTGGCACAGAAAAAGTTGAAAACAAAACAAAACAAAACAAAACAAAACAACAAAATCAAAAGAACAAACAGATAGGATGTAATTTTGCAGATGCTCTTTGAAGTCAGAACTAGATTGGATTCAACATTATTATTATTATTATTACATACTCTACATCCCCAGGTCTGGACATGGAAGATATCCAAGCGTATCTCTTCAACATTCTTTGTCCATGTAGCAAAGCCGCCCCACACATCCAGAGGTGACTTTGGAAATTAAGCCTCCATTAGAAAGAGACTATGCTACAGAAAAGACGTTTTGACTCTACTACATCTTTCCTGACACACATGAGAATATTTCTGCAGATGATCCTGATCCAGAGGATTGCTGCAGCTAGAAGTAACTGGTGTAGCACCATTCCAAGTAGATCTGGTCTTAAAGGGATGAACATCAACAAGGGGAAGAATGAGAATCCGCAGCATTGTTCTTAAAACCCCATTCTTTCCACAAAATTAAAAGGCCAAACAATCCCCCTTTCTCTATCCTTCATTCCAGTTGAGCACCCACACCCCCAGTGAACATTAACAGCAGAAGATTTTGCAAATCAGAGCAACTAAATCACACTGAGACCTTGAGATCCACCCAGGGCAGAGTGGGCCAAGTGCCCACGTGCTCCCACTGAGGTGTAACTCCTCTCGCGCACAGGTGATCCGAAAGGATCTTCTCAGATGCCATAGAGTCATCGCCTCCAACTTCCCAAGTATGAACATTTGTTGAAAAGATAAGTATTTTTTCTTTTACAGACTGAGCATAGAAAAGAAAGAGATTATCAGCATTTGTTGATTGGCACTTTGCGTGCCGTATTCCCTTAACAGCACTCCCAAAAAGCAGGTAACTGGTAGCTATTTCTGCACGTGCTCCTGGAGCAGGCAGGCGTCTAGAGCCTTTGCTTCAAGGAACAGATACTGTGTGTGTCATGCAGCTACCACTAAAACACTAAATCACAGGCTTTCACATTTCACATTTCTATTATCAAGCACAGCACACACCGCAAAGAGTATCAAACAAGAGAAAAGTCCCTGTGCTGTCCCTACAACACCCTGTCGCATCACTGCTGCTAAAGCCACATTAACCATTGTTCCCTTAACTCCCATTTTCGAGTTCTGCAAAGCAAATTGTTTCAGGAAGGCTGTTTCATCTCGCCAGAGCTCGGTGGACCTGCCCCCTGCCAACCCACAACAGCAACCACCGCCACCAGCAGCGCGAGCTCAGCAACAAGTGCATGAGGATGGGGAACCATGAGTGTGCACGGATTGTTCTTTCCAAGCAAGAAACTCCGTTGTGCTTTCAGAGCAGCTGAACCTGTCCTGAGAGGAAAACCACTTTGCTCCAGCTCAATTCACTACTGCAGTACTTGGTGCCCGAACTGTTTTTAGCAGGGAAGTGTTTCAGATCCTGAGTCTCTCCAGTTCCTCCAGCAACCTAGAGCAGTGGAGGGGCAAGAGTGATCCTTTCAAGAACAGCTCTTTTCCCTGAACACTCCAAAATCCTTTTAGGAAAATAAGATCAAAAGTTAAAGGAGGAAAAGGAAAAAAAAAAAAAGAGGAGGCGGCAACTATAGTGACAGAGGATGAAAAAAGGAAGATGGACACAAAGAATTGGAGCCTCGTGTACCTGATGAATTGTCTGACTGACAAAACAGGACATGAGCAAAATCAGAAAACAGTCAAGGGGAGGAAGGAATATGAGACAAGATTCCTCATTCTGAAGTATGAAATTCCATTTGTGTACTTAACATGCTGAATCTTTCAACCTATAACATGTTAAGCAACAGAGGCCTTAACACAATATGTAGGCTGCCTCATAGCTATTAAAACTCTGTTATCCCCAGCTATGCAGACACTCAAGTAATGTCATCCATTTTTTAAAAGCCCAGATGTCACCCATTTTTGGAGATTAAAAAATTAAAATAAAATTGCACATTCAAATTACTGTTTTGGCACATAAGGATGTGTGTGTGGATTTGTAGCACAAAGACATAGTACTTCTGCTCAACAGTGAGATCAACAGAATAGATTTTTTTTTCATGTCAGTTAGAGGCAAACTAAGAAGGATTTACATGAAAAACTCAAATGGCTCCAATAGAGCTGTTCTTTCTACAGCAATGAAAAAAATGAAGTCAAGTTTTCAAATTATACTGAAGTGCAAAGGTACAACAGGCAAGGACAGCTCTAACAGTGGATAAATAAGTGGGAAACAAACCCTATACTCTTCTGAGCTGAGCATCCTAGGGGCTGCAGTGCCCCAAAATGGAAACGTCGGTGACTTTTACCTTGAAGAGTAAAACTCTACATTGTTTTGAATTACATGTATTCCTCACACCACAGCTATTGCTGCTCTGATTGCCAAGTGGTTTTCTTCCTTTTTGTTTGATTAAAGCAAAACAAAGGAGAAAGCTACAACATAATTTTCCATTCCATTAAGACTGTGGAAGCAAATGACGTAACGAGGAATGTCAAAGCTGAAAGTTACAAGTACATATCCTTAGATTCATTCTGTTCTTGGGCTACAATATTTAAGACCCTAATGTGTATGTCTCAGACACTGATGTCAGAACCTGGCATATTTAGGCTTTTGGATCATAACTAATATCACTTAAATTTATTTTTTGTTTCTGAATTCGAAATCCATTGAAGGCACACAACAATTATCAACGAGTATTTCTAAGATTAAACTTCCTTATTACCTAATGGTACCTATAACAACAAAAGAAAATAAAATGGTTATTATCTTAAGGACCTAAACAATTCAAAAAACAAATTAAGCTTAGAGTGAAATAAGAACTGGGTTAGAAATCCTCTTCTGAACAGTTAGTCTGCGAATGTAATTACTGAAGAAACTACAGCTAATCAGCTGTGAATTGTATCCATTAATTAGTATTTACCCTGGAGAAATGAGAAAAATCAGTAACAATGTTAACACTGCAATGCACTGATGAGTACTGAAACACAGGGCCCTCAGCATTTAGTCAAGCAGGTGGCTCCAATGGTCCAAGTAATTTAAAAAGCTCTCACCTGAAGTGCAGAGCTAGAATTACAAAGCACTTCTTGCATATCTTTGTATCTATATAAGGCTATAATTAATGACTTTTAATTTAGAAATACTTTGTGATCAGCTGGGAACAGTTATAAATCATTCTAAATAGAACAAGGGGTTCTTGTCTATTTTAGTAAAACAATTGGGAAAGATGTTTTTTTGTGAAATGACTCTTGTTGCAGTCAATATTTTTGTCCATTTATTTTCTAAAGGACCCCTTGCTCAGACCCCTCATAAACATCCCAGAGCATTCCTATAACTGACAGCAGGCATTCGAATCAAAGGTGAGATCCAGCAACTTGGTTTGCCCAAGTATCCTCCCGCTGGGTTCCCACCCGTTGGATTTCCCTGGGACAGAGAGAGAGTAAGATGCAGCACCTAGTCCAGCTATCTTTTTGTTCTGTGCTGGCGTCGGGATGCTTTGCAAATTACTTAGCCATAGCAATTAGCAAGGTTTTGCATAAACTTTTGCATCTAAAGATCTCAGAGCATCCTCACTCTGTAACTACAAGAGTAAAATCTTTTCATCTTCCTTTGGCAACATATACCATTGCATTGCAAACTACTATTTGTTTCCTTGGATTTCAGGGGTTCAACAAACTCCATCTTAAGTTTTAATAAATATATTAAAAGCATGAGCACCACAACTTACTGCCACAACAAACCAACGGGAACCACACGCATATGCTGATTTCATGAAATGAACTGCAAACAAACTAAACCTCTTCTGAACTTGTTGTGAATCACAGCTTGCTTTCTTCATGCAAATCGTTGTATTAAAGCTATGACAGTTCAGTCCTCTACTCTTTTATGTTGCAAGGGCACTTGAATCTTGGCCCTACTGAAATCCATGAGAACTGACATGAAGACTGTAATGAGAGAGACCGGATGTTTGCTTAGAATACCTTGTATAAAGAATGTCAAGAAAATTATTTCTAAAATGGCTTGTTGAAGCTCTTCTCTCAGCTTTGACTGTCAAACCTGCAGCCCAACATCCAGCCTTACTCATCTGTCCTAGGAAGGGTGTACATTTGCAATGCCATGGGAAAATTCATGCCTTCATGAAGATCATATCAACTCCTTCTGGTGATTGGAGATATAAAAACTGTACCACTGCCCCACTTCTACAAACTGCACGTTTTCATAGACCAAACCTCCTAGGCCAGACATTATGATACTTGTTTGCAATTCAAAGGATGAGCCACTTTGAATCAGCACGGCACAGCGCTCCTTGGGTTTTCAAGTTACCCTTTGCACTCACCGGAGCTTAAAAATCAGCTGGTTATGAAAGCTGAGACTAATGAAGGGCTGTTTTCAGAAAGAACTCTGATACGATGAACATCACAGACAACTTTGGAAGTTCAGGAAAAAAAATCAGTGATTAAATATCCACAGAGTCTGAATTCCTACTGAAAAAAGTCTCCAGAAAATCTCCAAAGGTTAAATAGTGGCTACTGCCTGGGCTCTTCTTCAGCAACTGTGATGAGTCAAAAGCCACAGTAATAAATAAAATAAGCAAAAGAGAAGTTTACACCACAAAACCATAATACTAAAAAAAGCATAAAAAGTAAAGCCAAAAACTAACGTTGAAGGTGTTAATGGACACACAGAATAACAGTTCGAAACTCTAAAAGTTAGTGGGAATTTTGCTACTGATTTTAATGGAGAAATTATTTTACTTACAACATTCAGTCATTAATATTTATTATAACCATCTATATTTCTGTCTTTAAATCAACTCAACTGTGGTGCAACTCTAATCTGAAAAACATTAGAACTCATGCTCATTACTCATTTCCTAAAAAGTGCAAATACAGAAATAGGTAAGTTAAAACCAGACACAGAAGAGCCCAGACTTTTA